CCCCTCCATCAAAAGCACCTTTGGGAGACCAAAATCTTCTTATTACTTGGGTTTTTTTTGAGGGAGGGGTGCTGAAAACGGGAATATCTTCCTGTAAATCTCCATGTTTTCCATCAAAACCATCATCTTTGGGTTTTGCCCCCCAAAAAAACACCCCAAAAGGTGGGAAAAAGCCCCAAGTGGCTCCAAGCCCCCTGCGGGGTTGGGGCTGGGTTTGTCCCCAGGGGTCCTGGGGCAGCCTCCGGTTGTGCCACCATCACCGGGGGTTGTGCCACCGTCACCATGGCAAAGCCATCAACCCCCATCCCGGTGCCTCCCCTTGTCCCCCCTGTCCCCCCCCTCGGTGGCACCAAGGGGTTTGCAGCCCCCCAGGCAGGTGGCAGAGCCCTGGACCAGCAGGTCCTGGTGGTGGCAAGGCCACTGTCCCCAAGAGCTGGCTGTCCCCAGCTGCGCATCCTTTAGGTCTGCCTGAGTTTTGGGGTGCAATGGGGTACCCTGAGAGCACCCCATGCCTTGGGGGGGTGCCTGGGTTGTGGTGTCCCCCCCCAGCAGAGGGGACATGGAGGTGACCCTGCCCCCAAGGTTGGGATGGGGCTGGGAGCCCCGGGGCCATGGGACCACTGCCATTGCTGAGTTTTGTGGGTGACACTAGGGGCTCAGAGCTGGGGGGGGGACATTTCCAACCCGTGGGGACATTTTCTGGTGGCTTTCCCTGTCCTTTTACTCATTGTCCCACCTCTGTGAGGGCAGGGACATCGCTCCCTGCAGGGGACAGAGTGTGGGGGGGACAGAGCTGGGGTAGCAGGGGACACCGGGGTGTCTCTCCCAAATGGGTGACACTGTGAGCTGCCCCATAGCACCCGGGGGGGGTGGGTAGGGGGGGGCTGAGCCCCGTGGCCGTGTGAGGACAGTGGGGACATTGTGTGGGAATCACCGCGGGGCTCTGAGGTGTCGGGCACCAGCCGAAGGGACTGCAGGGATTAGAAAATAAAATTGAAAAAGAAATAAATAAAAAAAAAGAGAGCGGGAGGGAGACAAAACAATGCCTTTTCCCATCGTCCTGTTTTTTTGGAAGCTTCTGAACTGTTTTTGTTGAAATTTCCCAAAAATGTCAGGCTCCGGGAGCCACCCAGCCTGAGAAACTTCAGCCCCAGCGGCCGCAGTCTGGCCGAGTGAATCACGGCTGCCCCGGGGGCCGCCCGCGCTCCTGACCCACCGCCCGGTTCCCCCCCCTCCCCTCCCTTCCCGGGGGGAAGCCACC